AGAAGCACCCTATCAGGCACACCTCGGCACTCGGGTGTCAGCCTGCCGAGGCCCCATGTCCTGAGCAGCCTCCATACCTTCTTCTGTGTGTTTAGTGTTTCACATCCTGGGACTATGTTCCCGCCCTAGCCCACCTTTGCAGGTGCATATTTGAATCTGGGAAGGGATGAGACCCAGATGGTCATGTCCAGTCTAAGCAGCCCCTGCACCACTATGGGGGGTGAGGGCACGCAGAAATCAGTGCTTCCCATGCACGTGTGCCCAAGGCCCTGGGTGGTGCACAGGGTTGGAGCAAAGCCTGGTGGGTGAACCGGCCCAGAGGTGCCTCAGAAGAGCAGACTGGTGACCTGCTTCCGAAAGGTCACAGCCTTGCGACTCCTCCGGTGCAGTTCAATTCTGCACACCCAGACGCCACGGGTCAGAATCAAAGTCACAGCTACCACCACCCAAGAACTGTGTCTGCCTGAAGGAGTATGCCCAGTGCCCCTGTGGCCCAGATACAGAGCAGGGTGACAGCTTAGAGTGAGCACCCCGAGATCCAACCCCTGGCTGCAAACAGCTCCAACTAACCAGGGTGTCACCTTGGGAGTTTGTCAACCAGATGTGAGGTTTCTCGGGAGGGACCAGTGTGGGCCGGACAGAAGGGGATCCAGGCCACGGAGGGTGGAAGGCAGAGGAAGGGGTGACCACCCGAAGGAGTGCTTTCTAATGAGTGGGAGGGAGGGAGGGAGGGAGGGATGGATGGATGGATGGATGGATGGATAGAAGGACATGAATGGACAGGTAGGCAGATGAAAGAAGGGGACACAGGGAAGAAGGCAAGCAGGCACAAGGCAGGCCTCGCAACAACCTGAAGCTCAAGGTCAATTCTTGCCAGAGACCAGAGTGTTCCGAAGGGCAGGGAAGAGTCCAGCTGCTTCCCACAGGGCATGCTATTAGACCCAGTCAGGTACACGCTTGCGCAGGATTGGCCAGCCGCTGCTGCTGGCTCTGCAGATTGGCCAGTCAACGGCCAGCGTCGATTCTGACTGGCTGAGAACCAGGCCCAGCCCCCGGGTGAGGATTATGAGTGTAACAGCGGTACAGAGTCCAGGGCCTCATGGGTCAGGTAGGATGATGGCGCAGCGGGATCCCTGGGCGGGGTATAAGGTGGGCTCTGCTCCCACCCGAATCCTTAGCACTAGGAGACCAGGAACCCCAGCGTGGCAAGGAGGGTGCAGGAAAGGCTGGGAAACAGCAGCAGCCACGTCTTCCCCCCCATCCCGCTAGAAAGAAGCTCAGAACATAAAATGAAGCTGGAATTCCACATCGACTGCCCTGTCCTGGACATCCGGGTCCGCAGAGCCACCAGGCCGTCAGGGAAGTCTTGTCCCCCCTTTACGAGGGGACACTGGCCAGGGGCTCCGATGGTGTTGAGACCAGGGACTTCCATGTGCCCTTCATTCCGCCCCACCCCGCCCTCAACTCCACCCACCACCCAGCGTGGACCCCAAACAGGAACCCACAGATCAAGACGATCAAGGCCTCCTTTTTGTATCATAAACTGACTTTTAATAATAAAAAATCTATCCTGGCTTTGAGGAGGAGAATCTGGACATTTTAAAGTAAACCAGTGCACCGCACGCTGGCCCTCAGGTCAGCTCGGTCACCAGCAGTGCAGCCGGTCCTTGCTCTGACGGGTCACGTGTGCCCAGTGGCCAGAGAGGGGAGGCGCCCCCTTGGGGCCCCTTGCCTGAGCACACCCCCCAGCCAGAGGTGGCAAGATCCCCCCCACTCCGCCCCTGGCTATGACACACCTTGTAGGCACATAGAAGCTGAAGGGCCACCCTGCTGAGGGTCCCTGTGTGGGGCCACCACCCAAAAACGGGCAGGCTGGGCCCCTGCCTCTCTGGCCCAGAAGTCCCGAATGCCCAGCTCTGAGAAGTGATTAAAACAATAAATTACAAAGGCCATTGGCAGCCGTGTCCCAGAGACCACCCCTCCTGCCTGTGTGACAGACACCTGCTTGGGGCGCAGCTAAGGCATCGCAGGCGGATGGTTCAGATCCAGCACCAGACCTCCCCTGGGCCAACCACCTCTCCAACCCTGGCAGCTCGTCCTTCAGGGATATCAAAGTCATTCATTCTAACATGGCCAAGTGTAGGGCCCGGGGGTGGTTGGGAAAGGGGACCAGGCCACACCTGCCAACAATACCTAAGACTCTCATAGGAAAAACAATGAAATACTGCCGTTGTTTGATTTCCAATAATTTAGTTTTCCTTTGGGCTTCCTTTTAGTAGAAATGAGATAGATGTCAATACGCTATCTTATTTTGGTCCCTTGTGAGACAATATACCTTTCTTTGAAATTTAGGATGTCAAAGGTAGATTCACACAACTCAGGAAGAAAGAAAAAAGATTTTGACAACAGAACAATAGCAAAGACCCCAGAAAGCCACGCTCACGCCTATAAATAAAGTGGGGCAGCCCGGGCCGGGTGCTCAGCTCCAGCCCCATGGAGGCGGTGTGGCTTCCGAGTGTCCTCTGGGAACAGGTGTTGTGCACGCCCTGTCCTTCTGTAACCTCCGAGTGAGGCCTGGCTCCTGGGGTCCGCCAGGCGGGTTAGTAGACGGTTAGGGACAAGCCTGGAAGCTGGGAGGAAGAGACAGGCGGCCTGGAATGTGGACGTGGAAGGAAGCCAGTGGCTTCCAAAAGTGCAGGGTGACATCCCGAGAGCCGTGTCCACAGGGCCCCCCAGCTCTATGCCCACACATGAGTTTGAGTCCCTGGGTCTCTGGGGCAAGAGCTAGGTCCTGGCTGCACCCAGCACCTCTCCGGCTTCTGGAAGGCTCTGTGGGCGCCCAGCACCCCTCCGGCTTCTGGAAGAGGCGGGAGGCACTGCCAGTTGGGGCCGAACAGCCGGCTCACCCCAAGTCGGGCACGCAGAGATGGGGAGGAAGCTGGGGAGGCTCCGGGGCAGTGGGAGCCGAGGGCCAGCCACCTCCTGAGAAGGCCATGTGGCTGCTCTGTCCTGCCAACTCCTGGCTCGAGGATGCAGCCCAGCGAGAAGCAGAGTGGGGTCAGAGGTCTCCGTCCACTGGCGGCTGGCAGAGGCGGTAGAGCCTAGGGGATGGAGGCGGAGACTGAGGGGCCGGGCAGAGGCTATGATTTAAATTCATGCCCAGAAAGCCGGGCTTGCCAGTCATCAAAGGGTGCAGGTCCCTGAGCGGTGCAAACAGCTGGTGGACAGCTGGTAATCAAAACGACAGCAGTTCAAACACCCCCAGCAGCACTGCTAAAGAAAGGCCGGGCAATCTGCTTCCACAGAGATGGGCGGGGGTGGGGGACTAGGAAGCTGTTCTACCCAAATATAAAAACCGGCGCGGTTTCAGGGCTCTTCTGGTGAGTCCATGCTCTGGTCCACTGCGCATAGGACTCCAGGACAGCTTGGGTTCGGGCCGAGGCGAGCCGCAGGACCGGCAGGTGGTTTCCCCGCTCCCCAGGAATGGGTCAGCCTTCCCCGCCTTCCCCCTCTCTGTCCCGGCCCCTCCGGTGGGCGGGTGGGGGGCACTGGAACCATCCAAGGGGGCTGAAAAAGCAGAGACCTACACTCCATCCTGGATGAGGGGCAACAGTACAGTTTCTCACTGCCAGGGGCGCCCCGAGTCATTTTTCTCTGAAGAGGGGGTGGGAGGCCAAATACATCTGGGAACTCCTGCTCGAAAACGGGTCACAAGCTCTTTGGGTCCGCACACGAGCTCTCAAGTAAAACGGAGCCTTCGTAAAGGACGGTGTTCAGAGAATGGGGATTTCACTTGTTGCAAAAATAGATCTGTGGCTCACAACTCCGTTTACATTGTTTCGAAGGCCAGGATGGGCTCTTCCATCTCAAAAGTTTGCCGACCCCTGCTCTAGAAGAGAAGCTCCTTCAGAGCCAGGGTTTTTGCATTAAAAAAAAACCAATAAAGTGTGTTGTACACAACTTTTTTAAAACGGTGAGAAACAAGATCAAACCAGGCAGGGGAGCAGGCGCAGACTGGAGTGAGGGGCTATTCCGAACGGACCCAGCCTGTGGTCCTGAGAAGTTGGTAAAGGCCCGTGGGGAGAGGAGGGGGGTGAGAGAAGCCCAGGTAGAGCAGGGGAGGGGCAGGTCACCCTCGTTTGGGGGGGGGGGGCTGTCCAGTCTTCCAAGCTGCAATAAGAGCTCCCCAGAGGTAACCACTGAGCCCCTCCAGACCCTCCCATAAATGAGAGGTGGGGCTGGGGACCGGTACCAGGCCAGTCACTCACCTCGGAGCACCCTGGGGCATCTGATCCTTGACTCGGAGGTTTTTGGCCAGAATCTCCACCCTGGGGCCCTGGAACAAAGAAGTGTTGAGGGGGGATGCCTCAGCTCGCAATACCGGGCATGGGGGTGGGTGGGAGGGAACTCAATCCGCCATGGTGGGAACCCTTGGCCCTTCCAGACAGAGAGGGTCGATGTGTGCCCTCGCCCAGCCCTCCAACACCACCCCCACGGCCCTCGGCCAACCCATGGCACCCTGGCCAGTGCCCCCAGCCCCACACCTGCTTCCGCATGATGTCCGTGGCCTGCATGATGCACTTGGGCAGCAGCCCGTGGCTCCGTGCCAAGATGGCCGCCTGCTCCAGGGAGACGCTCAGGGTGCTCCTGGGGGAGGGATGGCAGGGCTGGCACCAGAGGTGGCCTTCCGAGACCCCCGGCACAGGGTCACCCACCTGGAGCCTCCCAGGCCCTGGGACCCCGTCTGCTCCAGTCCCCATAGCCTCGGCCCAGCCTCGGGGCCTTGGCTCTCTCTCTTCCGGTGAGTTCTCTAGGAGGCCTGCCCTGAGCAAACCAAAATCCCACTGCCACCGGCTCCACTCGGGCTCACGGCGACCCTGCAGGGCAGAGCTGCCCCACACTGTTTGGGAGAATGCCAGGGCTTTCTCCCTCGGAGCAGCTGGTCGGTTTACACTGCTGACCTTACTGCCAGCGGCCAGATGCTTAACTACTGTGACACCCCCCCGTCTCCCCTGACCACCTTAAGCCTCTCACCCTGAACCCCCTCATTCCTCCCCACGCTGTCACCACCCCCTCACAGAGCGGTGCCTCACTGCCTCCCACCTCCCAGAGACCTTCGCCTGCCTCCCCCTCTGTGCTGAGCCCGGGCCTGGGTGGGAAGCCCTCTGTGCGGCCTGGTTGGATGAAGGGGGACACAGGTACCGCCTTCTTATCTCTCAACCTGCCGGCAGGGGCGGTGGTAGACCTCTCTGTCCATCCTTGCACCTGTTTCTGATCGCACTCTGCAGCCAGATCTCTTGGCTTCAAGTCCTGTTCCTCCACTTAATTACTCTGTGACCTTGGACAGCAGAGGTAGCCCCCAGCCCAGGGTCTCCATTTCCCTAACGATAAAACAGGAATCATAAGAGCACACTTCCCTGGTGGGGCCAACAGTTGAGCACCCAGTTGCTAACCCACCGAGGACTGGGGCAGGAAGCCCTGGCCATCTGCTTCTGCCAAGATGCCCACCTTTTGGGAAACCTAACGGGCAGTACTGCTTTGCCACACAGGGTTGCTGTGAGCCAGGGCATCGAGTGCCGGCCCAATTCCTGCTGAAGGGGCATTCTCCAGGTTGGAGCTTGCACAAGCTCTCACTCACCCCAACCACAGAGCCAGGGAGCCAGAAGGTTCCACGGTCCTCCTGGGACACCTATTCCTGCAGCCAGAAGGGTGAGGCCTTCTCTGTGCCAACAGGGAGTGTCTGATCCAGCCTTTGAGCCCACCTTCCAGCTCTTAGCCCTGTCCAAGCAGCCCCGCTCCGCGCCCGCTCACCTCTGCATGCCCGTGCCACACATGGAGATCTGACAGGCGCCCAGGCGGTAGCAGAGCTCCGAGGAGATGGGAATGAGGCCTGCGCCCAAGCTCCCGCCGCCTCCAGGTTTAGGGTGGACCAGGGACTTCATGAGGCGGCAGAGCTCATCCAGGGCATTGATGGGGCGGATCAGCTGGGAGACACGCAGGCCAGGCACAGTGAGGAGAGGGCCCCACGCTGCCAAGCCCCAGGGTGCCTCCCTGCAGGCCAGCTCTGCCACCGCAGCCTCCTTCCAGCTCACGGCTAGGGAGCTGACGGGCCTCTTGACCTGCCACAAGCCCCCTGCTCAAGAGCCACCTGTGGCCCCCGCTGCCCCGCTAGCTGGCCCTCAGTGCTCACCACAGGTCTCAGGTCTAAGCCTCCAACCAAATTCTGCACCTGCCCAGGTGTGTCCCCATTAAGACCACACACAGTGCCTCTCCGCCCACAGGTCCCCAGGACGAGCGGCTCCTGATACCCGTGGGAACAACACGATGAGCCCCCCACTCTCTCCAAGTCACAGGTTCTTCTGCCAGCCAGACTGCAGACTCCCAAAGGGCTACGTCCACCCCTGCCCTGAGAACCCCCAGGCTCACAGCCCTGGGGCCAGCACCCCCAAACCATGGTCAAATTCAAGGCCCTGCCTGAGCCTGGGGCACCAGCATATCGGGAGAGATGCACGCTGGGCAGGGGGCAGTGAGCACACAGGAGGGCCAAGGCAACTGCCCCTGGTCAGCAGTGAGATGGGAGTATGTGGCCTAGGAGAGCCAGGCCTTCCCATCCCCCAGAAAGTCAGAAACCTCAGCTGGATGGGAAGTCTTTGGATTTTTAACCACTGGCAACTGACTCAAAAGAAGCCATACTGTGCTGGCAAGTTCAGACCTCAAAGAAACTCAGAGAGAAAGAGGGAGAGGCAGGTGCAGACAAACGTCACCCACTGAACTCCAAAGTGAGTGAGGAAGAGGCTGGAATTCCTAGAACGGGGAGGGAGCTATCCCAGAAAGCTTCCTGGAGGAGGGAGCAGGAAGGCCTGGGGGCTTCTTGGCCAGGATGCAGGGCTCGGGTTCCAGCTTCACCTGGGCTGAGGAGGGGAGGACACACCTGGTCAATCTTCACCGCAGTGGTGCTGGCGTCCGTGGGCAGGTTGGACCGTTCCAGGTAAAATGCCCTGGGAAAGAAAAGTGGAACTGAGGGGGCCCTCCGCCCATCATCCCCCCAACTCCCCTCCCCACCTCATCTTCAAGGCCACAGCCACTCGGCCTCCTCCACTGAGAACTGGCTCAGAGCACCCTGCACAGTGCTCTGCACTCAGGGTCACCGGTCCCTCCAACAGCCCCATGGGGATAGCAATAAGGGGCCTGGAGGGCCCTCCCCACACTCCCCCCTCAGAGCAGCCCCTCCTGGATTGCTCTGACCAGAGGAGCATCCCATCCCCACCCCTCACTCCGCACCCCAGTCCAGCTCTCTCTTCTCACCCCTCACCCCTTTACACAGGTCTGTTCCTAGCTTATTGTCCTTTGTCCCCTCCCGGTGAAGGGGAGGGGGTTAGCAAACGCTTTGTGTAAAAAGCCCAACTACCCACCTCTGGCTGTGTGAACAGACACGAGACCAGACCCAAGGGTCTCTGTCCCACCCCTCAGCCCTGTCCTTGCCCTGTGAGAGCAGCCACCAACAATATAGACGGTGTCAATAAAACTTTATTGACAAAACCAAGTGGTGGGCCAGGTTTTGCCAATCCCTGTTGAAAAGGGCAAGCCCATGAAGAGGAGGACTTGGTTTTGCTCACGGCTGACTCTCAAACAAGCAGCCAGAGCAGAGCCTGCCCCACAGGAGGCCTCAAAGGGTGGGTGCCGAAGGAATGACCGGGTGAAGGAGTGATCGGTGGCTGCGTGTCAGATAGGTGGCAATGGTTAAAGGGCCGGCAAGAGCATTGGGGACACTGATGGCCCAGACTGCTCAAACAAGCCAGCTTTAAGTAACAACGCTGGATGGTCCCTGGCAAACAAAAGCCTCCGTTTTCTATTGTCAAATGGGAGCACGTGGGCCCAGATGCAAGAGTCCTGGTTCTCAGCCAGCCTTGCTATGCCGCCCGTCACAGCAGGAGAAAGTAGGGTTGGTGGGGAGGGATCAGCCGTGGGACCTGAAAACCTATGAACTGGTTCCCACATTGTCTGGCCAGGGACACTGGCCCCTACTCTGCTCCTTCCCTCCCTCCCATCACCTCCTGGGCACCGTCTTTGGAGGGTCTCAAGCCCTGAGGCTCCACACCCACTGCCTGGGCTCCAGGGATCCCACAGCCTCTGTCCCAGCTCCAGCCCCCTCCCAGGACGAAACAGGAAGCTCTTCCTGGCTGAGAGGACCGGCTTTGAAGCCAAAGAGCCCCAGGTTTGAATCAGCTGGGCAAACTGTCCAGTCTGGCCTCTGGCAACCAGGGCTGCAAACCAGTTCATTCCAGCTCGGTCCCCCTGCTGAGGCTTTGCATCTCTACTCCAAACCAAAAACCCAAACCCAATGCCATGCCGTCCATTCCAGGACGGAGCAGAACTGGCCCCTGGGGCTCCCAAGGGGTATTCCCGGCAGCCACACCGTCCCCCCTCAGAGGGACTGATGAGCTCAAACCACCGACCTGGAGGTTAGTGCTTAACCCACTGCACCACCTGGGATTCTTTTCCTACCCCAAACACACTGAGTGGGAATCCACACCTCAACGAGGTCCCCAGGTGGTTCACACCTGTCCTCAGGGAGCCGGATGCACACAGGTGAAGTTAGATACACACTGTTAAACTGATTCCACCTACATGGGTGGGACCAGAGGTGCCCTGGTGGCTTAGTGGTTTCCAGCTGAGCTTCGACCTTCAAGGTCAGCAGTTAGAAACCACCAGCTGTGCCTCGGGAGCAAAACAGGGCTTTCTACTCCTATAAGGAATCAGTTTAGGATACACCCATGGGGGCACGATCACCCTGTCCTATATGCATTGACTCAACGGCAGTGGTTTGGGTTTGGACCGCAGCAGGGGTCCACCCGGCTTCCTCTCGGGCACTGGAGGCTGGGATGGCCCGCACGGCAGGGGTGGGTACCTGAGTTTGCGGTAATACTGCTGCACCTTCTCCAGGGACTGGGCGTTGATCTCCTGTTGCAAGTCCTCGGTGCCAGGGCTTCCTGAAGGTAGCGGCGTCTCTGTGTTCTCCAGAGCTGTGAGGAGAGAGGTGGTACTGGGCTCTGCTTGGGGCCCGGGGCCGGGCTGCCTAGCGAGGGCCTCACCACCCAGCCAGGGGCTCACCTCTGGTGAAAAGTGCCGTCTGCAGCCGCAGGCTGGCCCCACTCTCCAGGCGGGAGGGCAGCTTGGAGAAGTGGTAGCTGTCGAGGTAGAAGACCACCTTCAGCGCCTGCCGGCTGCCCTCGATGTGGTAGAAGACGTTGGTGTCTGGGGAAGGGCAGGGTGGGCTGGGTGGCTCCGGGAGATACAAGGAGCCCTGCCGGCCTCTGGTGGGCCAGCTGCAGGCTCCTTCCTGCCACCGCCCGGTCTGCTCACCCCGAGCGCTGGCCTCAGACTCCCTCTGCCCACCCTCAGACTGGCAACCTGGGACACCCACCACCAGGGGCGTCCCCTCAGCCCTCCTGGTCCTCCCACATGGGTGGCATCCTGAGCTTCCAGGTCCTTCTACTTGAAGGCTCTCCTCACGCCCCCCCTCAGCAGAGCAGACAGAGTGGCCTCTGAGCTACCGACCACCCACCCACTTCAGCACGGTCCGATTAGCCAAGGAGTCAGCAGTGACATCCTGGGAGCCCACCTATGCTGGTGTCCCCTCACCTGGTGGCCTGGGGCCTCTACTAGGAAAAGCTGTCCTCCAAACACCACCCGGATCCTGTGCACATCCAAGAGCCAGGAAGAGCTTAGGGCACAATAGTGGCCTTGTGCCCACCCTCACCCCCCTGCCCTGTAACTGCTCTGGTCAACAAGAGTCACCTGGCCCAGACAGCCTCCAGGTGGGAGTCCTCCCCCACGCCCACCCCCAATCTGGAAATCTTAAGCAGTCTGCACCCTAAAGCAGCATGTCTCTAGAGCAGAACCCTGCCAGGACTGGGTACAGGGGTGACAAGGGCAGGGTTTGTACAGAGAAGCCCTGGTCCGCCTTGGGACTCGCGATGGGAGGTCTGAGGCAAGTACTGGGGCCTTGGGAAAAGGGCAGGGGAAGGGCAGGGTGGTCCCAGGACCCCGACCTCATGGCGGGCGTGGGAGGAATCACTCACTGGCCACGTAGTTCTCGTCCAGCTGCTTGAAGGAGAAGGTGACGTTGTCCAGCTCTGACAAGGTCACCCAGAGGTCCTCCAGCATGGTCCGTTCCTCCTTCTGCAGGAAGAAGGGGCAGAGGGTCCTCAGATGTCCACTGAGGATGGACCCCAGAGGGTGGGGGAGCTGAGTATGTGAACAGCGGGCCAGCTGCGCTTTCCACAAAAGCAAGAGCCTCCACTCCCCCACCAGGCCAGCGCCTATGTGCAGGGGTGACAATCAGAGGGTGCCGAGGCCACCAGACAGCAGCTGGGCCAGTGTCACAGAGAAACCGGGCTGTCTGCAGGCTCCGTTTCTGGGCCATGCCGGCTCTGGGAATCAGCACGCCAAAGGTCAAGTTCTCCCCAGGACCGGCAGAGGCCCACAAGATTCTGAGCCCTGGGCAGGGTGGTAGGGGGAAAGCAGGGCAGAGGAAGGAGGGGAGGCCTGGAGGTCGACTCCCAGGGTTCAAAGCCTGGCCTGGGGCCCTCAGTTTGCACACCCTCACATGTGGGCAGTGACAGCCTCTACATGGTGGCCACAGGGTGCTCTGGGGAGTGAGTTCTACCAGCAATGCCACAAACGCCGCCTCTGGCGCCCTCTTACAGGCTGGTGTCCCCGTCCAGCAGCCGGGGTCCCTCTCAAACTCCTCGGGGACTCCCACCCCACCCAGAGTAACAGCCAAAGTCCACCCTGAGCCTGTGAACCATCAGCCTCCCCCGGCCCCCTCATTCTGCTTCCATAGATGATACTGTTCCCAGCACTCCTGCCTCAGGACCCTCGCACCTGCACTTTTCCTCAGCCTACCCCAACCTGAGGTCAGGTGTCACCTTCTCAGGGAGGCCTTCACTGGCCACCTCACCTACTGGTCCACCTACCACCATCCCCAGGCCGCCCAGGCCCTCCCCTGCTCTCCATGCCTTCTCGTGCTTCAAAACACCCCGGAGCCGCCCAGCCTCTGTACTGGAGGCATGTGGGGCTGGATCCATCTCAGGGGAGGACTGTCCTGCACACTGTCAGATTTTAGGAGGATGCCAAGAGCACCTCTTTTATAACGGCCATCAAAAGTGCCCCCAAACCTTGCCAATTGTCCCCAAAGGGTCACTCCTGATACAGAAGCACTGATTTAAAGCATGAATCATACACCAGACCCCTGCCAAGTGGAGTCTGACTCCCATTTGCCCTGGGGGATGGGGTAGAACTGCCCCTGGGGGTTCCCAGGCTGTAATGCTTCGGGGACAGCCACGTGCTTAGCAGCCACGTGCTTTCACCACTGAACCATCAGGGCTCATTGGTGCATGTCAGGCATTTTCGTTACCACAGTCTCCCCTGTCTAGGGCATTACGACCCCTGGGTATAATGACCCTGTTTGGTGCCCACACAGGAATACACCTTGGCTGAGTGAAGAGCAGAGGGAGGGTGGCCTGAGTGAGGAGGCAAGCTCTGTATCAGACACGCATGCAGCCCCGCCCCGGGACTCACCACCGTGGCCGGCGAGAGCAGCGACTGGCAGTGCAGCAGGACACCCGTGGCCGCCACCTGCTCCAGCCACTTGCGGCTGGCGTCGCGGCTGCCCTCGTCGTACTCGCCGTTGTTGTTGTAGCGGTAGCTCAGGGCGGCCAGGAGCTGCTCGGAGAAGGTGCACACGGCTGCCACCAGGGCCTGGCAGAAGATGGCGTCCCTGCGCAGCTGCAGCGCCGTGTCTGGAAGCAGAGGGTGGGCGAAAAAGGCCTCGCTGACTGGATGCTCATGGGACCATGGCCCAGGGATGGAAAGCCCCCTGATCCGTGGGCCAGAGCCAACCTCCCAGGAGCTGGTCAAAGGTCACCTTGCCCCAAGCTCATTCTCTGGACACCCAGTCACTGCCCAACCGTGCCACACAGTAAGTCCTAACAACTCAGTTCTCTCAGTGGGTCCGCTTAAAAAGAAAGAAATAACTTCTGGTTGTTCTCCAAAGTCTCTCTCCAAACCCTCTGGGCTCCATGGTCCCTTGTTTGTGAGGGGTGCCTCGGCCTTGGCTTACTGAAAAACAAGCTCCACACCTTACGTGTGAATGAGGAGGCGTTTTAAGAACGTTTTAATAAATTATTACTTTTAGAAATGATTCTACATTTCAATGTTTCTTAGAATTCTGAAGTTTTAGAAATAATTTTTTTAAACGATTTTGTGTCCTTAGGGCAGCGGTTCTCAACTTGTGGGTCGCGACCCCTTTGGGTGTTGAACAACCCTTTCACAGGGGTCGCCCGATTCATAACAGTAGCAAAATGAGTGATGAAGTAGCAACAAAAATCGTTTTATGGTTGGGGGGGGTCCCCACAACATGAGGAACTGTATGAAAGGGTCGCGGCATTAGGAAGGTGGAGAGACACTGCCCTAGGGGCCCTGCTGCCCAGTGGTTACTAGGTGGGCTGCTAATGCAAGGTCAGCAGTTTGAAAGCACCAACTGCTCCTCAGGAGGAAGACCGGCTTCCTACGCCCATAGAGTTACAGTCTTCAGAACCCACAGGGGCAGTTCTACCCTGTCCTATAGGGGCACTATAAGTGAGTGGGTAGTTCTCCCCTGTCCTACAGGGGTGCTGTGAGTTGGCAGTTCTCCCCTGTCCTACAGGGGTGCTATAAGTGAGTCGGCAGTTCTCCCATCCTACGTAAGTGCGATAAGTGAGTCGGCAGTTCTACCCTGTCCTGTATGGGTGCTATAAGTGAGTGGGTAGTTCTCCCCTGTCCTACAGGGGCGCTATACGTGAGTCGGCATGGACCCAATGGCAGTGGGTTTGATCTGGAGGAAAGGAAAGTCTCCAGAGTAAGAGCCGTTAGGCGTGGTCACCTGCAGAGCCTCACCTGTGCACTTCAGCAAGGCCAGGAGCAGCTGGTTCTTCCCGTCTGCAAGGAGAAAACGCAAAGGAGGTGGGCTGAGAGGGGCTCACAGAGCAGAGAGAGCCCAGCCGCCTGCCCCCCAAGTCTTTGCTGGGAAGCTCAGGGTTGTAGTAACTGCTGAAGGTTGAATGAATTCCAGAAGCCCCTTTCAGGGAATGGAGCCCCTGCTGTTGGTCATATCTGTTTCCAGGTACCAGGCAAACAGGCTAAAACCAGCCTGTGTGACACCTGGGCCATGGGCCGCTGTCTTATGTCTTGTACACACGTGTGCAGGCACATACTACGCACAAGTAAATACACACAGCTACATACACAGGCACAGGCGAATACACCCACCCAGCACCGGACACCCGTGTGCACGCCATATGAACACACACACACAGGCTCAGACACACATTCCTACACGTGTGTAACAAACTTTTCTCCCTGATAGCAGCAGAACATCTCTTTCCTTCAGAAGGATGCTCCCGCGCCCAGAAGGGGCTTACAGGACAGATCTGCAGGACCATTCAAGGCCTGGAGAGGGCTGGGGAATGAGGGTTGGGCAGGATGCTGACGGGAGCCAGGAAGACTGACAACGGGCCAGGCTTGTTCAAGTAGCACAATAAGCCCATTTAACAGATGAAGAAACCCAGCCTCAGAGAAGCCAGGAACATGACAGTGGGAAACAGAAAGATTTCTCCCAAGACTTCCCCAAACAGATGTTAGACTTAGGACCCTGCTTGCAGCTAATGGTAAATGATTGTCAAGTTACCTCCCTGGAGGCACTCAGTTGGTAGACTACTGTCTGGTCCCACCACAGGTAGGGCCTGCTCCCTGATGTTAGGGACAATGGGCTACTTCTCCCTAAAGGCTTGCAGTCATCAGTTTGGTTCCTGTAGGTGGGGTTTACACCCGACTAATAATGGTCTCTATAGTGAGCCAGAGAACAGGTCAAACCTGCTCAGTGACATCCAAAGTTAGGCTGCCATCCTGAATCTAGGATCCGCCCATCTTGTCACATGGATACCCCCAATCCCAAGGTATGTCTTTACCTGTAATTCGTGGGTTTGCACGCCCCCAAAGATATATAGGCCTTGGTTAGCAATAAAGAGCTCTCTCGGGCTCCTCCTTGGCCTCTTGCCGGTTTCCCCTCTCCTCTCCTGTCCTCGCTCCCCTGTTCCCTTTCCCCTTGTCCTCCTTCCCCTCCCCCTCTCTCCATGTGGACCACCAAGCGGGGCTGAGGTGAGCATACCAAGAAATGTGTCTGACTCCATTATTTCAATCTCTCCTCTATTTCTCATGCTCCCTAGGACTTTACTATAATCTTTATATATATTAAAATTGCGCCATATAAATTGCGCCTATCGAACCCGCGATTAGTTATGGGGGGCTGGCATTCCCCCCACACTTGACCTGGTCACTGGTCACACAGGGCAGAGATCTGGGCCTCAACCCCTGGTAGTGACCCCAGAAGCCAAGCTCTTGGCCAGCTGACATTTTAGGAAACAATTTCTTTCAACTTAGGCTGCTGTGTCCAGGGGAAATGGCTTGGAGTTCTTGTCCTTCCTGCTGCCCAAGCCAAATGGCTCCTGACCTGGGGTTTCTTCTAACCCAGGCACCCCAAACTCAAACAAGGGGTTCCAAGCTCACAGGCTGACAAGGCCCAGGCAGGAGCCAGCAGGTGCATGAAGCAGACACCGGGCTGCGGGGAGTGGTGGGTGCTGGCATAAACTGGAAAGCCCAGGAGCCGACGGAGTGGAGAGGGAGCCCTTCCTGGTCTTCCCATGTGAGGCCCAAAGGCCACAAAACTCCCACAGGCGACACCCCTCCGGCCAGACGAACCTTCCACGTATCTCTGGATGTTGTCTACCAGGGTCTTGATGGAGTTGGGGAGGTTCCAGGGGTCTTCCTGGATGCTGATCTGGATTAAGCTCCGACCACGAATTGTACACTCTTCTTTCTGCTTGAACTCTGGGGCAGGAGAGTGACATAAGGACCGAGGTCACTTTGGGGAAGGAGGGCACCAAGGTCTACTTCCCCTCAGCCAACACCACAGCTCAGACTCCGAGGCCAAGAATACCCACAGGACTCTTGCGTATCATCCCGTCCACAGGGGGCAAATGTGTGGTAAGCACACTGTTGATTTTCAGTCCACACCCCTGGCAGACATCACTTATCAACCTCAGCCCTCCTCCCAACTCGTCTGAAATCCTGATTCTCTACAGCGGCAACCAATCTAGTGCAGGCCTCATTAATCCATCACAGCATCCTTTTCTTCTAAGCCTGGATATAGTCCTAGGTTTCCAGGGCGCTAACTCCTTGGACCCACAACCCATCAAGCTGGCACATGAGCTGTATCCAAATCTAATCTGTTCCCTAGACAGAGTAAGAGGTCAAGGTTTAGAGAGGGAAAGTATGTTGCCGAGAGTCAGTCAACCAGTTAGTAATCATGTTGGGATCTAAGTTTAGCCCAAGAGGACCAGTCAAAAGTCATTGGACTGATTGTGACCATCAATGTACGACATGCTGTCCTGGTTTTCCATGGGGAGAGACTTTTATCATTTCCTTTCATAAAGGTTGATTCTTCATGGGGTTGGTCCCTCTGGGTTTGAAGTTTCTGCAGTGAATTGAGGATGGGCTTTCTGAAGTCTGCTCCTTGGAGACAGATGCTGCTGAGAAAGCTCGAACGCCTCAGCCCTTCCAGATCTTCCTGAAGGGCAACGGCCTGCCTGCTTTCGTAATACCTGCTCCCATGAGGAGGAGCAGGCACAGTGTCAAGTTCACTTCAGAGAACCCAGTACCCAATACAAGGCTCGGCACAAGCCAGTCACTGGGAATTATTACTGGATGGATGGATGCATGCATGGATGGATAGATGGACAGATGGGTGGGTGAATAAGTAAGTAGAAAAGGTGCATGAAAAAATCAGCTGGTGAAGGAAGGAATGAATTCGTCGTTAAGTGGGTGGATGCATGGATGGATAATGAGCAGGCAGGTGAGTTGGCAGGTAAATGGGAGGACCGGTAGGTGGGAGGGAGCACATAAGAAAATTCAATTCTTTTTCTCTCCTAACCATTTCCAGAAGGAAATCTCAACTGGGTGCCGGAAGGTTTGTTAACACTGCTTAACTCACTAGTCCCTTTCTAGTGCAGAGAAGGCCTGGCAGGTCACAGCACCTAGCTGGCATGTGACCTTCCTTATTCCCATTGGATTGACTGCGACCGTCCACTGTGGCATGCTATGCTGCTCTTGCAGAAGTTCCTTTCCAAATGGATTTTCTTTAAGGAAAGGCACTTTTTCCCAAGGCTATGTCAGTGGTAAAGGCGGTGAATGAAGACGTGTGATTTTACACATGGGGATGCACACAGAGCCCAAGGGCACCACTGAACTCCCAATGGGGCATGTGGACACCGAGGTTTGGCAAGCTCGGTCCAGTCCCCCCCTCACATTACAGATGGATGACCCCGAGGCCCAGGAGGGCTCAGAGGCCAGCCCCGAAGCTGACCAACTTCTTGTGTGATGAGCCAGGGGGGAAACATCTTAAGCTCTGCAGGATCTCTGTTGCTTTAGTCTTTACTTTCTGGGGAATTCTTACAAGCTTCTAAAATTTCTGAAAGGGATTCTTAGCATCACAGACTGTACAAACACGGGCTTGGAGGCAGACAGGGGGCACAGGCAGGCACCCGGCTGAGTGTGTGCCCAGGCATCTCACATGGGCCTGACCTCCTCTCCCTGGCACAGGGGTCTCCTAGAGCCCTGCCAGCCCTGCCAGGGTGCTGCCAGGGTGCTGCCGGCTCACCTTGCAAGCTGTGGTCCATGGGGAAATGCTTGGTCTCTTCAAAAGCCCTGCTCATGACTGGTCCCTTGAGGAGTGCGTTGATGGAATCCACCTGGGTGGCAACAGTTCTTTAAGTTTGGTCCTGGTGGCCCTCCAGACCCAGGGACCCAAGACCCGCAGCCTGTCTCCTGCTTCTGTGAGCCTCAGCCCCTGTCCTGGGCCCTGGGCCCTGGGCTCTGACTAGGGACCACGCAAAAGGCAGGGCAAAAGTCCTACCTGGTTAAAGAGATGTTCCAAGCAACCATGAAGTTTGTCCTGCTTGTCCGACGGGATCCGCATGTCACAGGGCAGCTCATCCCCTGGCAAAAGGAAACCACCAGGGCCATCAGTCACTCTGGCCCCATCTCACACTTTCCCAGAGAGGCGATGCCACTATGGCGTTCCAGAACCCGGGTGAGATTCTGAATCCAGTGGATCCAGGAGCTGGCTGTGTGTCACTAAGCAAACCACTCGATCCCTCTGAGCTTCTGTTTCCTCATCTGCAGAAAGGGCCACAGGCTCTCACACCAAAACCCCAAAGTCATGGCCATGGAGTCGATTCTAGGTCACAGAACCCCTACAGGACAGGGCAGAACTGGACGGACAAACAAGATGGCAACGGTGGCAGCAGCGTCAGGTCTGGGGCTGGGTGACAAGGGGGAGAGGGCGTGTCATCCACATCCACTCAGGCCTTGTCAATCATGAGCCACGCAGCTGTGTGGCCATGCACATTAATGTGGCAAAGCACATTAAATAAATTCAGATACGTTCCCCTTTTGAAAAGGCTGAAAATCAAGCAACAACAAAGAACCCAAACAAATCAAAACAAATTAAAAGCTTTCACTGCAAATTGCAAGTACCGAAAACACAAAAGAAAGCAAAGCCCCTGTTGTCAGTGAGCTGCTTCCGACTCCTGGGGAGAACAGAAGGCAGAGGAAAACTGGCTTCCCAGCCTGGAATCTCAGCGGGGGGGGGGGAAGCCTGGCAGGGAAGCGGGGAAGGAAGGGACGGAGCAGCCGCTAACAGAAGAGTCACTGGTTTTGGTTTTGTTTCTTAGACTGCAGGAGAAACCTAAGGCCGCCAGAGGTGACCTTTCACAGCATGTTAGAAAGCACCCGTTCCCTCGGGGTGGGGCATTGTCAGTTTCACTCTTGGCACAGGGCAGAGCCCACAGAACCGAAAACCCCCAAACTCACTCTCATGGGGTCGATGCCCATGCCGGCGCCTAGTGACCCGATAGCACAGAGTAGAACTGCCCCAGTGAGCTTCTGAGACTCACGCTTCACGGGGGCAGTAGCCCCATCCTCCTCCCCAGGCGAGGCTGGGGGTTCCAAACCGCTGACCTCACAGTTAGCAGCCCAGTGTGTGACCCCTGGGCTCCTAAGCCCACAGCAGACGCTCGATAAATGCCTGCACTTTCCAGAATGAAGGGCTTCTTCCTCGGTTCTGTTGGTGAGTGGAAGGAGACACCGTTCTGTAAGACCCAGTGTGACACCAGAGGAGAACACGGAGGACCCTCTCCCCAGAGCGCACGCCCTCCACTCACCGGAGCCCATCTCGTCGCTGCCCAGGTAGGAGCTGTTGCTTCTCACGCTGGTGTAGGAGAGGACGGAGTCCCGGTTACTGTTACACTCGCTGCAAAGGGCGGACAGAGAGAGCACTGAGTCACGCTCCACCCACACTCCCTGGGCCCAGGGCCCGGGAGCCACTTTCTGGGGGCACAAACACCGGTCGACCACAAGTGCCCAACGGGAAAAGACTGGGCAGTCGTTCTGTGTCAGATGGTGAGTCAGTGCCAGCTGGCCCCTGACCGTCCCCAACCTGGTCCCTGGACACACGGGTGTAGACCATCCTCACAGATCCTCGGCTCTCCGTCTCCCCATCCTGCTAGACCAGGGATCCTCAAACTGCAGTCCGCTGAGGACATTTATCCAGCCCGCCAGGTGTTTTTGCCGCTGCTGCCTGTCCTGCTTAGCAGCCGTCTCCGTCCAGTATGCATAGGAATTTGTTCATAGTTTTTTTTTTAAACTATAGCCCAGCCCTCCAGCAGTCTGAGGGACAGTGAACTGGCTCTAGACCCATAGGAGGAAGCAAACCAAACTCACTGCTACGTGTGGGTTCTGATTCACGGTGACCCTGTATAGAATTTCCTTGGCTGTACAGCACATCTTTCTCCCTCTGGGCACCTGCTGGGTTTGAACCACTGACTTTGCAGTTAGCTGTCCAATGTTTATTCCACAGCGCCGCCAGGGCTCTTTTGCAGAGGGACAGGGAGTGTGCTCTATTAGCTTATGTCCCAGGGACTGGGGAGGCACTTGGGAGATAAAAGCCACGACCCCCACAGGGGCTGCATCAGCAGAACATCTTGTGGCACACACGCCTGAGAGGCTGGACAGCACAGACCCTGAAGACCGGAAGCACTGGCCGGCTGAGGGGGGCGGTCATCTCACTGCATTGCATCATGTCTGTGCTTTTGCCACCCAAAACTGAAGCTCCCCTTAAGCTTCCACTTGTCACGTGTGATATGACCTTTGTGGTAGGTTATGTGACATTTGTATGCATTGATGGTTACATGAAAATTGAGTCTTACTCTACTGGACCCATTGATCTTTTCCTAATGAACTTAACCAGACCCCAAATAATCCGAATCCTCTAGGAATTAAGAGAAGCGACCCCTGGTGGCATAGTAGGTTAAAAGTCAGGCTACTGTTCACAAGGTCAACAGTTCAAATCCGCCAGCTGCTCCTTGGGAGAAACATGAGGCTTTCTACTCCCATAAATACTTCCAGCTTCAGAAACCCATAGAGACAACTCTACCCTGTCTAGGGTCCCTGTGAGTCAGAATCGGTCCACTGGCAGGGAGGGAGAAAGCAGTCAAGCATGTCATTTATTTTTAAAACCTGTTTTCCTCCTTGGAGCAAGTGGGGGGTGGGGCGGGATGGTATTTGTAGCAGAAGCCAGACGTTGTACATAAACACCATTCCCTTGGCGTGTATGGAGGGAGGTAGAGGCAGAGCAGGTGGTGCCCACCAGTGACATAGGGCCTGAAGGCTGGGTTCTGGGGTGGGAGACCCAGATCAGCATTCAAGGAGGGCTGCGGAGGCTTAGATAACCCCAACTCCACACTCGACCACGGCTCCCTGGCAAGCGCCCCCAGGGCGCTGACTTTCACCTACATTCTCAGCAGGCCCTCACGCCGGCCCACCTGTAGGAGTCGCGGTAGCTCATGGTGTCGTGGCCCGAGTCTTCCTGGTCCTCCTCAGACACCTTGAAGCACACCTTCTTGATGGCGCAGTGCTCCGCCCGGTCCGTCTCGCTCTCTTCACTGACCAGTGGGGAGGGCGAGGGCTCCTCAGCCGAGGGCGGATCGCAGGACCCGCCAGACGTGGGCTCGGTGATGGTGGACAGCAGCCTGCAGGGAGCAGAGACCCCTAGTCGACATCATGCCCTGTCCTAATTCCAGGTCCCTCCTGCACCCTGAGCAGAGCCAGCACTGAATACCCTGCATCTTCTCCCTACTGCTGGGGTCGGGGTGTGTGAGGGCCATCCCTTATTTCAAGGCTTGGCAGTGCCAGGCTCCATGGTCCGGAGCACTTTTTCTTTAAAGGGCCAGTGTTCAGTTTTGCAGGCCCATGAGTAGTTCTAAACCAGAAGGAGGGGCTCCCTGCTCTCTTGCCAGGGGGGCATCTGGCAATGTGGGGAGACACCTTGGGAGGGGGTGACTCCTGTTGTTCTCACTGGAGAGGCCAGGGCAGCTGCTAGCCATCCCACAATGCACAGGGCCACCCCTGCTACCCAACCCCCATCCTAGGATCGCATGGGGAGCTGCTGGCTGGACATGAGTTTGCAGAAGCCCTCAGTAGGTGGAGTGTGCGTGCAGCCCAGTGATGCAGCGTGCCAGGCGGCACGTCTCCCTTCGGTACAGAAACTACAACCAGTCCACCTGAGAGCTTTCGCCGCAGATGGTCGCTGCCTAGACCTGTTAGTTCATCGGGGCGGTGGCTCACTCCTCTAAGCCATTTTGCCACCCAGGGGGCATTGGGCAAAGCCGGAGGGTGTGCTGCTGTTTCGACTGAGAGAAGTGCTGCTGGCATTCGTGGGTAGAGGCCAGGGAGGCTGCTCAATGTCTGACAGTGGGCAGGACAGTCCTCGCAGCACCCCCCAGGAGTCGCCCAGCCCCAGGGGGCAGCAGCATCATGGCAAAGAAGCCCAGGGGCCTCTTGTCCCGAGCCCCGGGGCCAGGGCTCACCTGTTGATCTGGGTGACATACTGCTTCATCTCCTTCAGGGCCACGTCCAGCTTGGTGAAGAGCTGCAGGTAGGCATCCTGGATCTCCCGGTCCTCCTGCTTGAGCAGGAAGCTCAGGCCCCTGTCCTCCTGGCCGGCAGCCAGACCGAAGCTGCTGTCGCCGAGAGCCTGGCCTTGGGGACCTGCGTCCGCCACAGGCAGGCACTTCCATGAGGGGGCTGCCATGGTGGTGATGCAGTGCTGAGTGTAGGACATGGGATTCAGGTGGCCTGCAGGGGTGGGAGGGAGAGGTCACTCAGAAACAGCTCCTGGACACCCCCAAGCCCCCCAAACAAAGGCACACGAACTGCTTCAGAAACCCCAGCGAAAGGGAAACATGGCCCCTTCTTAATCTTCTTTTCATTCACTAGAGTACTTCAAGGGGAACATTGCCGTTTGGGACTAATTTTTTTTAATAACTGCAATCTCCTTTTCTTGCCTGGAACGTAGGCATCACGACTCCAGCAGCCAGTAATCCTTGAGGGCGGAAGTCACATGCTGGAGACTGGGGCCCACAGAGGCGGTTGCCGTGGGTCAGTGCTGACCCACGTGACCCTGGGTGTGCAGGCTTTCCAAGGCTGCGACTTGTCAGAAAGAGAGGCTCAGACTTCTCTTCCCCTGTGCGGCTTTGAACTGCTAACCTTTCCGCTGGTAGCCAAGCCCTCAACCTCACTCGCCGCCACCCAGGGTCTTCTCCCGGGTGACTCTGAGCCGTCGCTCCACCCTGGAGCGCGGCACTGCAGCCAGCTTGCTCGGCACGCAGGTACCTTGCTCAGGGTCAAGGCCGATGAGGGATGGTTTGCGGCCGAAGCGGATGCTGAAGGACCTGCCGACCGAGGGCGTGGTCTTGGGGTAGGACACTTCCATGAGGTTGATGTGGCAGTTGGTGGGGCAGAAGTCCAGGCCGCACAGCGGGCGGGGCTCTAGGGGTGCTTGCTTGAAGGGTGGGCTGACCCTGCTCTTCAGCTGCGCTGCGAACTGAGAAAAAACGGGGCTGTGGGAATGCTGACCACCCGGTATTGGCCTCACTGGATATGCCCAGGCTGGTTAGGTGCCAATGGCTCAAGTCAGTGTTTCCAAAAGTGGCCATATCACCTCCCGAATAGGGTAAGGGAGCGTGATGAAATGATTTGGGGGGCTGGGAAAGCAGATACCAACACTTTATCCTGGATTTAGAGCTATAGTACAAGTTTGTCATTTCCAGGGGGAGAGGGGGACACTGAGGC